TTTGCCCCCCACTCTCAATGTTGTAGTGGAGGTCTTAGTTGAGGACCTCGGATTCGGTCGAAGAGAGTGTCATTCTTGCTTGTGGGCGTTGAGTGGYCTTCCATGGCGAGGACCTCGGTTGAGGCCGAGATGGAGAGAGCGGTCTTTGGATGAGGAAGTGCTGGTCCTGATTTTGTAGTCCCGACTTGAGAGTGTGGAGTTGTCTGCAGCGACCGAGGCTTTGTTAGAGCTAGTCGGGCGTGCGTAGACGTCGTCTTCGGCTTCGATGGGCTTTCGTTAGCCTTTGTGCTGCTTTCACTCCTTCAAGAGTTTACGGAGGGCCAAAGAGCACGAAGGCATTGGCCTTGGCTCCAGAGAGCTCGATACCGTGTTATCCACGGGTACGAGATGCGCGTGCCCCCCAGTTATGTGCTTCAGATGAACTGATGAGTCCGTGAGCGGGCTAGGCGTCGGACACCACTGTGTGAGATATAGACGACGAGTGGGTGGGTCGTGGCCGCACACAAGATGGGTCTCGACATTGAAGGTTTGGACCTTGCCGAGGTGGGCATCAGGTCGCAACTATATGTGAGACGATGGTGATGCTTCAAGCTGAAGGGCCGCTGAGGGGCCGAGGGGTGACCACTGAGGTTTAATCATCAAGGTGCGACCATCGGGGTGTGACCGCCAAGGTGTGACCGTCAGGGTGTGACCGCCAAGGTGTAACCGCCGAGGTACGACCTTTGGGGTGTGACCGCCGAGGTGCGACCTTCGGGGTGTAACCGCCTAGGTGCGACCTTCGAGGTGTGGCTGCTGAGGGGCTGAGGCTCGTCGGGGTGTAACCGTCAAGGTGCGACCTTAAAGTGTGATTGCCGAGGTATGGCCGTTGAGGAGTTGAGGACTGTCGGGGTGTGACCGTCGAGGTATGGCCGCTGAGGGGCCGAGGACCATCGGGGTGTGACCGCCATGGTATGACCTTTGGGGTGTGACCGTTGAGGTGTGATCATTGGGGTGTGACCGTTGAGGTACAACCTTTGGGGTGTGACCGCCGAGGTTCAACCTTCGAGGTGTAACCACCGAGGTGCAACCTTCGAGGTGTGGCCACTAAGGGGCCAAGGATTGTTGGGGTGTGATCGTTGAGGTGCGACCTTCGAGGTGTAACCGCCGAGGTATGGCCACTTAGGGGCCGAGGACCGCCGAGGTGTGGCCGTTGAGGGGTTGAGAACCGTCGGGGTGTGACTGCCAAGGTGTGACCGACAAGTAGGCGTATGACCTCCAAAGGTTGTGTGCCTCGGACCGAGGTCCAGTCCGAGTGTGTAACCTTGGTGAAGGTTGTACGCTGCAGAAGGGCACTCGATTGAGATGATAATGTATACACTGAGGATTGGAGGCGAGGTAAGAGAGACTCGCTTTATCACAAGAAGGTGTTTACATGGTCGGCTGGAGCCGAGCTCTTGTTGTTACATGGTTTGGCCTGCAGGTAAAGTCGAGGCCGAGGTGCTAACGACGGCTGGTTACGGGAACTACTATAGGGACAAGGCGATTAGATCGGTGCCAACATATTGCTTCCTGTTGTTGTAGTCATCGCCGCAACTGTCTCCGCACTAGTGGTCACCATGGTCAAGGTCGGCCTCTCCTCCTTGGTGCTCACCAGCCGAGGCTTCTTCAGTGGCGATATACTTCTATGTGTTCTTGAAAAATTTTGTTTTGGTTCTGGGTGGCGTTCCGGCAATAGAGAGTTTGAGGGCTGACCCGAGGCCATGGATTCCTGCGTACATGGAGACCATGGGGTTGAAGTCGTGGACACGATCGATGTAGGACCGTAGGATCTTTCCGTGCCGTTGCTAGACGGCCATGGGTGAGACGATGCTTTTCTGGTGTCGTCGACTGCTGGTGAAGTGGACGAGGAAGATATGGGCAAACTTGTCCCAGGAGCTGATGAAGTAGGGCGGGAGTCCGGAAAACCAGCATCGAGCTGCCCCCTTGAAGGTTGCCTAGAAAGCTCGGCACATCAATGCGTTGGAATAACCGTACAGGAGCATGAGTGTGCATAAGCTCTCTAGGTGCTCGTCTGGGTCCGAGGTGCCATCGTAAGCTTCCAGTGTGGGAGCTCTGACATAATGCGAAAGAGGTTCCGAGGTGATGGTGGCGGTGAAGGCGTCCATCCTGGTGGAGGGGTGTTGGCTTGCCGAGGTGTCAACTCGACTCTCCTTGACTTGCCAAACTTCATCCTTCGCCGTGCCGAGCTGTGCCCGTAGGTCGGTGGTCTGTTGGTCGAGGGACGGGCTGGCTGTGTCTCGGTTCCTTTCAGCTCATCGGTTGCAAGGTCGTACTGATTCGTTCTCCCTTTGATCCGGAGGTTGGAGGGTCCTTGACGGCTGACCCACAGTCCGGCCGCTTCTACCAAGCATTGAGGGGTTGGCCCAGGGGGGCCCGACCAGGCGTTTAGCTGGTGGAGCTCTGAAAGGGCATCCACGGTGATGCCCTCGACTTTCAGCAGGACAGCCACCCTGCGGGCGACCTCCTGTTGATTGCGGCACCTTGTCCAGCTTCTGCGTGAGGTTGTCGAGCCGGTCGAGGACTGTTTGGAATTGGTCCCTGGTGACCAAAATTTGCTTAGTTTCCTTGCTCCTAGCCATTTTGTTGGAAGTTGAGTCATAGCATTGGGGGGAATACTTAGTAGTTGTTCCCACAGATGACGCTAATTGTTGATGCTCAAAATGGGTTGAGGACAACACAATAAATTTACCTTGTCTCTCGGACGAGCTGGCTAAGAGGATCCAAGGTGATCTGTTGAGGGCGAGGACTTGTTAAGCCCGAGGTACGCTGTGGTTGAGGGCTGGTGGAGTATGGCCGAGGACCAACAGGTTCTGAGGACTCCGAGGGGTGCCGAGGTTGAGGACTAGCAGGATCCGAGAAGTGCCAAGGATTCTGAGGATCAGGACCTGTGAAGAAAGGAGACGTTAGATGCCTCGGGTGGGGACTCGAGGCGGGGACTCTGACAATCAAGTTACCGGATCAGGAGCTAGAGAGCTAGAATTGGGAATGTAGGTATCGGATTAGGATCAGGGATCCCTTACCTTGGGGGAATGTTGCCCTATTTATACTTGAGGTCGCTTGATGGCAGACACTGCGGGCGGTTAGGATGCGATCTTAGCCCTAGGCGAGAGGACATCCGAGAACCGCCGCGTGTGGTCGCACCATTGGTCCCGCGCTGAACGCTGACCCCTACCCTATACGATGCGTTGACCGGCTCCGAGCTTAGCCATGTGATAGTGCGCCAAAGGCTTGCCTAAAGCGCCTACATCAGTTTTAATTTCTTATAATATAAATCTATATGTATACTACTATTAAAAGCGTGCATGAGAATGTAGAACTTTTGTTTGACTAAAATACCCAAATTTCTAATGTGTTTATTCTCTAACTTAAGGACAAAAGTGTAATTTAAACAATCACTTTTATCCTTATTCAAATCCTTGTCATTAAGTCTTATATTTAAGGTATTAGTTCTCACTAACATTCATTGAATCCTATTCTTTACTAGAATACCCTTATTTCTTAATTTGATCCCTCTATAATAATGAGGGCACAAAATGTAATTTAAACTATTATATTTATTCTTATTTAAATTCCTTTTATTAAATCTTATATTAATTCTTATTTTACATTGAATCTTATGTTAATTATCTATATTAAAGAAAAAATAAATATAATTATTTTTATAAATGATATAAAATACAAATTTAGAACCAACAGAACACAAAGATGGATTAACTTTCATTTTAATATAAATGATATTATGTAATAAGTGGACTGCAATCCGCCTTTCAAATATGAAATGGTAGCCTTCTCTTAATTTACTAATAGCCTCCCTATAAACCGCATCCTTTTCTTGAATTTGGCGTCAATCCACGGTCAGGATTGAGTCCACCGTATAAATCTTACACTGAACGGTTAAAACCCCTAATATTATATATGCATATATTTAATTTCTCTATCGAATTGTTTTCTTTGATTGCTCTAAAAAGATTAACAAAAAAGTTTATTTGTTTCTACTGGACGACAAAGTATTTGAACTTTTCGCATCTTCACCAAAATAATTTATATGCTGTCGGTGTAGGACCCACCACCCTGCAAAGTCAGAAGCCCCTGCATGACATGGTGCATCTTAATTGGTCCCGATTACAAATGGAACTGTAGACAACTTGAACTCGACGTCATGGCCAGATTACAAACGGAACTGGGAGTCGCTCACATTGTCACACACATTGTAGGAGACTGGAGTCTTAGTGTCTAGAGACCGGAGACTGGACTTTCCTTATCTGATGGACAGCCTGGACTGCCCATATTGTCCCTTCATCAGTTCACATTCCTTCGAGCGGCAGAAATCTAGGTCGGCCGTCTAGAGAATCTTTTTCTACCATTACCCGCCTAGCAAAGCTTGATCTATCTTACTCCGCCCGCCAGACACGACAAGCGTACATTTTTGTACCGGTTAAATGTTCGTTAGATGGACAACAACCATCAATCAAGTAGTAATTTTGAGATCAACCGTCTGATTCTCTACTGTGGGACCTATTCTAATTTCATTTCTGTTTGCAGCACGCAGTATCATTTTTACCTATTATGGGCGGTCTAGGAAACGAGTAACGAGAGATGCATTTAACGCCGTCACATATGGAAAATTAACTCAATTACGAATTAATTTCCATTTCCAGCTAAACTCCCGATAATTTGTTTCCCGTTTTGATTGACCTAATGAGCTCAAACATCTTGGCGGGACCCACGACCATCTCCCAAGGTGACGGGATCTGCTCCTCACAAATGGGCGCCTCACATGCACATCCACCGTGCACTGGAAACATCTCCCGTGAATAATATCAATGAGATGTTCCCAATGTATGATAGGATGTGTGTGAGGCGCCTGTGAGGCGCCAGGTACGAGGAACAGGGCCGGTCTCCCCTCCATGCCCTTGGCTCTCACATATCTATATTTTCGCGATCATTGTTTCCTTGCTTTTCTTTTTTTTTTTTTTTTCCTGCAACTGAAAAACTCACGCACACAAAGTGGCATAGAGAGATAGAAAGACGAAGGGGTTAATGTCGAAAGCGTCGATCGCATAATACATAGTTAAAAGGAGCTCGTGCGATTGTTCTGCCGTCGACGTCCATGGCGAAATAGTTAGAGACGATCAAATACACAGGGACTTTCTTATTGTAGTGTGTGTATTTTGTTCGGTTGTCCTCTCATGGCCAAACGTGCCGGACTTAGTTGTTACTGTACCGGAGCCAAAAAATAGGTAATTTTTTCTCTGGTCGATAAACCCTAGCTTCGCATCGTCTTCGAAGACACCTGCTGCTCTGGGACTTAACTGATTCAATTTCGTTTCTCTTCATGTGATTGAGATCTTGAATCTATGTACGAGTGTTTCTGATCCAGAGTGCTCATTTTATCCGGAAGTTTGATATTTTCATTCTTGTTAGCCGCATTGGGAGGAATGGTTTTGATTCTAGTTTCTTGATTAGTTGAACACTGGAATTTTAACCAATCAATCATATGATGTTGAAAATCATATTAATTAGAAGTGAATTGTACTGCAATAATTATATTTGCATTGAAAAATGAAAAATTGAGGAATTCTTCACGGGTGAACCTTTCCGTTTTGACTGTTGAATGTTGATGCCAAGCAGATGGTCGTGTTTTGGAAAAGGATTGTCGTAAGGGTAAACTAGATGCCTTTCAAGAAGTTACTAGAACAGACCTGTGCAATGCACAGGCTGGTGTTAAAAGATGTGCATATTCTATAGTGGAGTGATTACATTTAGTTTCCTAATAAAAATAACTGAATTGGTTCTGGATGAGTTAAAGTAGCTCCATGTTTGATATTTTTATTTTTAATTAAAAAAACCACAAAATTCTCAGGGGACTGGAAAGAAACATGGGAAGGAAAAAGGATAAGCTGACATGGACAACTGCATTTTAAGAATACAGAATAGATATCTACAATTTTGGTGATCTTTCTTCTATGTTGCTTCTAAAATGATTTAGATAGTTTGAGAACCATGTTGGGTTCTATTTGCATGTCTCTGTCTGCTTTGTTCTGGTTCAAGTTTTGCTAAATGCATATGATTTCCTACTATTGTTGAAGAGTTACTTGCTGTGTTAAGAGTTGGCATTTTTTTCCTGGATACTGTTAGTAAATTGGGAAAACTATTTTAACACCTAGTATGTTGATATATGATGCTATCTTCTACATTATATAACTAGATTAAGTCTTGAATCCTGTTAATTCTTCAAATCAGGAAAAAGTCCTCAATCAGTTATACGATTCTTGATATAGCACAATGGCAGTGCAGGTTTTGTGTAGCTGACCCAAGTCAAGGCTTACTTGAGTTGAATTACGGTGACAAGTTAACTCTTTTGATTTAGTTCCTCCACCATCTTACTAATATCAATAAGTAACCAACTTGGGATTTAGTTATGTAACTGGGCACTTAGCTGCTAGGTGATGGTGTCTATGAATATCTTGTTGCAGTCCTAGGGTCCCCAGCCAAACAAATTGGTCACCTAGTTGACTCTGTGCACTATCAATTGCTACCATTTGATTTTCAGCTTTCCTTACTGCCTACTTGCTTCTCTGCATGCCTTGCATTCAGAGTAGTTTTCCTCTTCCTTAAAGTGCGAATCTTTCTTCCATTAAGATGGAAGAAGGCCCATTCCAGAACAAGATCAGGAGATGCTCTGGTAGGCTAGATTCCATTAATTGAATGAAATTAAATTTTGTGGAATCATATTGGATATTTAGTAATATTACCTTTCTGTGAAACTATTCACCAGTAACAGAATATTGGATTACATTACATTATAAGTCTTCCAGTTCTTGCTCCTCTTCCTTGTTCCTCCGTCTCTTTCATTTCTTCTTTATCTCCGCCTCATAGTCATTGCCTACTAAATCCATTTCACTGAGCCCCAGTCCTACACCCTATGAAAATTAGAATTTTTTGTTGGGAAGCTTTTCATTTGAAGATTAATTCTTGTGATATGTTGCAGAGAAGGATACCGTTTTGTTGCCTCTCACCTCACATTTGTTCTTTTTATGAATCAAGTAGGGGAAATTATGCCACACCAACTAATCTCCTGCACTTTTGCTTCCAGCATGTGGGAACATATCTTCTTTCTCTTTGGGTGTGGATGGTCACCACTTGAAGACTTAAGATCTATTTTCTCCACAACCTTTTTTTAACCCTAGAAAAAAGGAGAGGGAAAATTCTTTGGAGGTGTGCATGGGATGCTGCTCTTTGGTCAAATTGGGAAGAGAGGAATAACATAATTTTCAATAATAAAAGAAGAATGGAGAAGGTTATTGAGAATGTTCTTGGGTAGTGAGATGGGTGAAGACTTTGGAGGTTTATAAGGTTTTCTCTAAAGATGATATTTTAAGGGGCTGGCAGCTGATAGCAGATTCAAGTTCTGAGAGACCAAGGGTTGTAAAGGAGTGTGTGCTTAAAACTTCAAGGCCTTTCAAACTTAACTTTGATGGTTGTAGCTGGGGTAACCGTGACCCTTCAGGAATAGGGGAGTTATCCGAAACATGTCGGATGCATTTATTGCTATTTATTCTAGCTCAATAGGTGAAGGAGACTCCACAGCATCAGAATTGTAAGCAGTTCTCCAAGGCCTAAAAATTTGCAAGAATCTTAATCTTCACAATTTAGAGGTTGAACTGGACTCTAAGCTAAGGTAGTGATAAGTTGGTTGACGAACAGCTCAAAAGGAACATGGCAATATAGATACATACTAAGGCTGGCTCTAACTCTAGCAAGAGAGTTGGGAGTGACTTGGTTGTGGACACATAGCACACAGGGCAGCAAACTATGTGGCTGACACATTGGCTAGAGAAGGGGTAAACAGGGAAAATTTGTTTTTGGGTACCTTGTAACATGTATGAGTTCCCCCCACAGGGAAAAGTTGAGGCAGCACTGCTGTTAGTCATTCCTGTTGCTTTTTTATTGTAAATATTTCTTTATTTTCTCAATAAATGTGCAAGGCACCTTTCAAAATAAGTTCTTACTCTTTCTAATCAGCACTGCTGTTAGTCTTTCCTTTTTTAAAATTGCTTAAAAAACGGTGAGTACCCAGCAARGTTTTACATGTTTCTGGTTTTTTTTGTTTGATAGGACCAGTTAATTTGATAGTCAAAATGGAGAATTGAATAATGCAAACTGCAATTGCTAGGGTTTGGCCATTTGCACTTATATGATGAACAGTGAAACTTGCTGCTAGCCATTTATAACAGTATCTCAGAATCAGTTATTCCTCTACTTAAACTAATTCATCTAGGGCTATTGATTTTTGGCTTTTTTTTCTTGATCTATGATACCCAGTTACCGGTACATGGTGTCATGTTGGGCACTTGTGTAGATTTCATGTCCAACACCTTGTCTGGTTATGTTCATGCCACATCTGGGTATCTAGGTAATAGAGGTTTTGATGGCTCCATCATAGATGTGGTCTGTTATCTATTATTTGTTTTGCTTTCATGTCCAACACCTTATCTTGCTGTATCCATGCTGTGTCTGGGTATCTGGATAACAGATGTTTTGGTGTCTCCATGTTAGATGTGGTCTGATATCAATTATTTTTTATTCTGCTTAACAGACATTTTCCAGTGCCCACCTCCACTACTAAGATCTCTTTTTATGGAATCAGTAGATTGCCTTTACTTGGTTAGTTTTTTTATCTAAATTGGAGATATTGGGTTCCAGAAGTGTTATCTGCTCTTTGTGGGCTTAGATGCTTTTCTTCTTTGTTTTGTATGTGTTTTTTTTGCTGGATTTTCACAGGAGCTTGATCACTTGGAGTTGGATAATGATAGTCCTCATGCATGATTTTGCAGATAAAGACCGAAGAAGTTTCCTTTTGCTCATGTATTTCACCCATCTATGTGCTTTTTTGAAGTACCTGGGCGGGATGATGTTTCTTCTTGGTGCTTGCCTGGAATGATGGTATTCAAAAGTTGTCTCACTTAGAATTTTCAATATTTGACACTTAATATAGTTTGTACTGTGTTCATATTTGAAAATACATTATGCAGTTATATAATGAGATTTTTTTATCAGCTAGGAACATTATGGGTTATTGAAATTGTGTAGGTTGTTGTTGTTGTTAATTGGTCTTGTATGAGAAAGAATTTGTTAAAAGATCAAATTGTTTTAATTACTAGATTCGTGTAAAAATTTCCTTCTGAACTGAGGGAAGTGCTACTAATAAAAAAAGCTTCATATTAATTTGACTTTTGCATAGTTACTTTTGTTTTTTATTTATTTTTTATTTTTTATGTCCTATGAAACTTCCAGGAAAACAGATGGTGTTAATGATGTGCCATAGGAGAGAACCATGGAACATTTATCAGATAAGAAATTTCCAGTCAATTCAAAAGATTATAACTTATATGAAGAAGTTGGTGAAGGAGTCAGTGCCACTGTCTACCGTGCTCTATGCATTCCCCTTAACAAGATAGTGGCTATCAAGGTTCTGGACCTGGAAAAGTGCAATAATGATTTGGTATGTGGGTTTCCTGCCATTGTTAAACCTGAGATCTTTATATCCATCATATTTCAGATGGTAAATTTTTTGTAGAAAATTTCTTATTGTATTATTTCTGTGTATTTAGTTGCATTGTGGCAAATGTATTGATAGAATTTGTCAGTACTTGTTGCCTTGTTATACCATATTATCCATAATCATGTTTATCAAATTCTTCTAAATCACAGAATTGTAGTCTTAAAACCTGTTAGCTTCTGATTTTTGCTCTGCTCAAAATTGGATACAAACAGGGGATGGGGGAGGGATCAATTCTAAAAACCAAGGCTGCCTTGAGCTGAATACATTTGCTTAGCCAATCTGCCAATGTCGCATGGACATGGAGGTTGAATCTGGAAACCTTCACATGTATATGAGTCTTGAGTGGGTGAGATGAAAAAAAGGGACTCTGAAATGCTTCCAGAAAGTTGTTTTTACCAATAGCAAGTCCATATTTTGTGTATTCTATTATCACATACATACAGAAAAGGGCATAAGTAAATCTAAAAAGTTCTCTGATACTTAGGAACACTCCATATTCATTTATGTGAGATAAGCAAAAAGAAGGGGAAAATGAATTTTAGAAGTATTCCTCAAGAATCCATGGAGCATGGGAGTTTATCATGTGCTTGACATGGAAATTTTGTCCACTTAGGAGAGTCCATGCAACATCTCCCCATTAGGCTTAAATATGTACTCTGGTGCTTCTAGAATGAAATAATTCTTGGAGGAACTTCTGGTGACCAAGTAAATAGGTCCATTTAATTGGTTAATAGTGCATGGATGTGAAGCATTTGGGGTTCGAGGAACAAACAATGGGCCTACTTACTTTCATTTGGAGCCTCTGGTGAAGTTTTGATTACATGGGAGGACAAAAAGGTGCAATGATAAAAGAATTGGTAGGACCCACACAATAACTATGGAATTAAAGGAAAAAGAAGTTGGATTTGAATGGTGGTTAACTAATGTGTATGGGTCCACCTCATATAGGAACAAGGAAAGTCTGTGGGTGGAATAGTATAGTATTAGCAAAATGCCAAAATGTCTGAGGGATCAAGGTGTCTAGTTGGTGATTTCAAAGTGATCCGGTTCAATGCAGACAAGAATGTGGATTCCTCAAGGATTATTAAAAGCATGATAAGTTTTGAAGAGTTTATTGATTATTTCTTGCTCAGAGACCTCCCTTTGCAGAATGCACAACTAAGCTAGTCTAATTTACAAGTGAATGCAGTTTTCTATAAGTTAGACAGATCCCTAGTTACTTCTGAGTGGGAGGAGCACTTTGGTTCTGTTGTAGTAAAAACATTGGCTGGATCAATTTTGGATCATTGCCGCTATTATCGCAATCTGAGGAAATATCTTTTGCTCCTACCCTTTTCAGGTTCAAAAACATGTTGATAACTCATCCTAAGATTAAGGAAAATATAAAGAGGTAATGGAAGGAGTTTTAGGTGGAGGGTTGAGCTGGCTTTCAATTTATGCAAAAAAATTAAAGATGACTAAAAGAAGGTGGAATTGCTAATTGATGAAGGAAGATAAAAGCAGATGGAGTTTGAAGGCTGATTTGGAGACAATAAGAAAGGAGGAGATCTTTTGGCAACAAAAATCAAGGTCTAAGTGGCTAAAGGAAGGGGATAGCAACAGTAAATTCTTCCACTTTATGGCAATTGGAAGAAGATAGGAAATTTGATTTCTAGGATGTTGGTAAATGGAGAGGAAACACAAGACAAAGAGCAAATTGAGAGTACATTACTTTCTCTTTACAAGGTTTTGTATGCACGAAGATACCTGCGAAGGCCTGTATTGTAGGGGATTCAGTCGGAGAGAATTCCTTTGGTGTTGTTTGCGGGGCTTAAGGAACCATTCTCTATGGAGGAGAGAAAGAGGGCTGTACCTGTAATGGGGATGAGTGTTCGTAAGGCGTTTGGACTAGATTGGTTTATTATGGGCTTTTACAAAGAGTGTTGAGAATCTATCAAAGAGGATTTGAAAAGAGTATTCCATGAATTTTATATGAGGAGAGAAGTGGGAAAAGGAATAAATGCAACTTTTGTCTCACTAATTCTGAAATGTCTGGAAGCTGCTTTTACATATGAGTTCAGACCCATTAGTCTAACCACGAATTTGTAAAAAATAGTGGCTATAGTGTTGTTGTTCAGCCTTAAGAAGGTGCTTCACTTGGTGATATCAAAAGAACAAGGGGCTTTTATTAAGGATAGGTAGATTTTGGATCAAACCTTAATAGCCAATTAGATAGTGGAGGATTTTAGGAACTCAGGGGGAAAAGGTTTTGTATTCCAAATAGATCTGGAGAAGGCTTATGATCATGCAGATTGGTGTTTCCTCCAATGTATAATGGAGCAAATTGGGTTTGGTTAGAGGTGGATAAAGTGGATTATGGGATGTTTTAGGAGACATTCATTTTTCAATCTTCATCAATATCTCCCCAAAAGTTTTCTTTAAGGAATCCAGAGGTATACGATAGAGTGTTCCATTGTCACCAGTGTTATTTACTTTGGTGGTAGAATTCTTTAGTGAACTCTTGAAAAGAACTGATGTGAGAAATATTTTTTGAGGTTTTAAACTGGAGAGACAAAATCAAGCAGTTTCCCACTTTGCAGTTTGCAGATATTACCTTGACCTTGGGTGAAATTAGGGGACTTTAGGATGTGGGAGATCTTAGATGGATTTTGGAAGTAGTGGAAAGGGTTTGGGGTTGAAAATTAACTTAAGATAATGCATTTTAGTGGGATTAGATTGGAGAGTGTGGTGTTGGAGGAGTGCACATCTGTCCTAGGGTGTAACTTACAGAAGTGGCCAATTAAGTACTTTGGGCTTCCCTTGGGAGGTAACTTTTTTGGGAGGACATTATTGAAAGGTTTGTCAAGAGGTTGCTCTCATGGGAAAAGATTTACATTTCTAATGGGGGGAGAGTTACTTGATCAAATCCGCACTGTCCAATCTCTCAATGTATTTCTTGTGAGTGTTTAAAGCCCCATTATAAATTGTGAAGAGAATTGAGAAAATAACTAGACTTATTTGGGATCCATGGAACAATAAAAGTAGTCACCTCTTCAAGTGGGAGGAGGTTTGCCAATCAAAAGAGGTCTGTGGGTTAGAAATAGGAAGAGTCCAGTAAAAAACTTGACCTTGTTGGGTAAGTGGTTTTGGACCTTTTTTTTTCTATGATGTCAAGTTCACTTTATTTTGATTTCCACTTCATTCCAAAAAAGTTTGAAAATGAAATAATTACGATCTACAATCCTATCAAAATAGATCAAAATATATCTAAACACATCCAAAAACATTCAAACATATTTTTAAAGATATTAACACAAATTCATCAATTAATTCATAAGAAAAGTGCAAATACTCAACATAAATCCCAAATAACAAACACAATCACCAATTACCAAGTGGGGATCCTTGTGGGGTGACGATTGGGGATCCCGTGGCTGTGGGGTGGGGAGTGCTCTCCCCGTCCCCACTAGAGGGGATGGAAATTTCCCCACCATTGCCCCCATGGAGGGAAAACCACCCCTATTCCTGCCCCATTTGGGGCAGATCCCTGTGGGGATTGGGGAAATGGGGAAATTGCCATCCCTGGTTGAGATTCAGGTCAGATAGGAGTGAAACTTGGATAAGCACTTGGAAAATAATTTTGACTTCCGCAAGGTGCCAACTGGCTAGTTGGAAGGTCTTTGGCTGGTTGTAGCAGAGACTTGGGATCAAATCCTGCTTGCACCAGGGCTGAGGGGCTATGGGTTTAGGGGTGGGCTATCCCCCATTGTAGCCCCATTGTTTATCAAAAAAAAAAAAGACTTCCTACCTTAATGCAATATATAAGATATGATGTTGTCTCAGCAAAAAAGGGGTGAAGTCTTGGGAGGATACTTGGTGGGGGAATTCTCTTTTTTGTCAATCCTTCCCTAGGATCTACAACTTGTCAACTTTCAAAAACAAACCAATTGTTGAAATGGTGACCTTGGATGATATTAGACTGGTGTGGAACTTGGGATTGAGAAGGCCCTTGAGAGATCATGAAACAAATGAGTTGGTTCCTCTCTTAAGCTTACTTCAAGATGTCAACCTGTCCCCTTTGGGGGATGATGATAGAGTTTGGGTTCCTACTACAAAGGTTAGGTTTACTTACAATGGTCTCTCTCTTCTCATGTATCATCTGATGTTTGAAGAGTGAGAAGAGCACTAACCACCCTTTTTTTATAGTGCTCATATGCCTCTAGATCATGACAGCTATTTCTTTTGTTGTTTGGAAGAACTTGGTTAGCACCAGCTGAAGTGGTATACTTTTTCAGAACAAATTTGATAAGTTTCCGTACCCAGAGGCAAACGATTTTGTGGCAATGTGTGCGTGGGGCAGTGTTGTGAAGATATTTGAAGACAAGCAGGTGGTGGAAAATTTCAAACCCACAAAAGTAAGGGCTGCTCATTGGGCTGTGATTTGTGATGATTTCAGAGGTGTTCCCCCCCAGCCAAGGGGGTGGCAGATTATTGCTGGTTTCAGATAAAAAGACAACAAAGGGTGGTGGAGTGGAAATAGAGGGTGACTGTCAAACAAATATCTGGAGGATGAGGAGACAAAATCAGATCCCATGGGAATATAGGTCACTGGTGAGACTGTCTCTCTCACTAGATGCTTCCTTGAAGACCTCATTCAATTGGTTGCCTAGGAGTGCTAATATGCTAGCTGATTCTTTGGCTAGGGGTTGGAAGGGAATATTCAGAATGGGGTTGCTCCAGGCCAGGCTCTAATCTGTAAAAGGTGGTATTTTTCTCATTTTATGCTGGGAGTCTCTCCTTATGAAGAGATAAGATTTGTACTTTTTGGCCTGCTGCCTGCTTTAGTGAGTAGTATAGTCCTCTCTTAATGAAGTATGTTCTGTTGGTTATCAAAAAAAAAAAAAACTGCTTACCAGGTGAGAAAGTCAAATAACTAGTCTTGTGGAGAAGAATGCAGTTTAGTTGTGTAAAGTGTAAAAGGTTTGGGTTAAGTTCTGAGTCTTTGTTGAGAGGTTCAAGACTACCATTGCAATGAATGTATGAAAGATTTTTAACATTCTATTGATGGCCTTTACATATTTCTTTTGCAATGTGTGCAGGATGGTATTCGTCGGGAGGTACTAACAATGAGCTTGATAGACCATCCTACTGTATTAAGAGCACACTGTTCTTTCACGGCTGGTTGCAGCCTGTGGGTTGTAATGCCATACATGGCTGGGGGATCTTGCCTTCACATTATGAAATCAGCTTATCCAGAGGGATTTGAAGAGACAATTATTGCAACATTATTGCGTGAGGTTCTTAAAGCTCTTGTTTACCTTCATGCCCATGGAAATATTCATAGAGACGTTAAGGTATGATCTATGACAGCGTTATGTTTCTGCTGATTTCTGTAGTTCTTCTCTAGATTAGGTGTATCTAATTAGAGGCTGGTTTGCACTGAGAACTTGAATTGCATTTGTTGCATGTTCAGAAACAACGAGAAAAGTTCCTTCACAGTGCCAATCTCTGATCTGAAGTATTTTTATCATCATTTATAGAAATACCAGATATGAATAAAATATTTGTTTTTTTCTGAAGAGTTCAACCTTTATGCTTTATATCATTGTCTGAAATAATTTTTTCTTTCTTATTTTATTTCTTTATCCTCTTTATTTTTCTCTGGTTGGTTTATGACTTGTAACAGTGAATCTTCATGTTTTGTCTTATTGAATTTGGTTAGTATTTCTAATGTGTAGGCAATAATAGAAGAGAGATTTCTGTTGTGTTTCATATTGCACTTTGGCTTCCATAAGTTCTCCCTTCTGCATGTTATCCTTTGTTTTCTTAGTCAACACCCTTGTATCCAACTCTCTTGTAGGCTGGAAATATCTTAATTGATTCCAATGGAGCAGTCAAATTGGCAGACTTTGGAGTATCAGCATGCATGTTTGACACTGGTGATAGACAACGCTCAAGAAATACTTTTGTTGGAACCCCATGCTGGTACATTTTGGACCCTCTCAGTTGTCTCATTTTTTCTTGTTGAGATCCTATTTTTGGGTTGAGACTTCAAGTTATCGAATTCTAGAGTTGGCTTGAAGCTCATAATTTGTATTTTTACTATTTTTTTTTCACAGGATGGCACCTGAAGTCATGCAGCAGCTGCATGGATATGACTTTAAGTGAGTTGTTGACGTGGCAACTTTATTTCTTTTTTTCTTTTGTTAATATAGAATAGTACTTTACTGAGATAGGTCCTTATAAGCGGGACTTTAATCTGTTTGGATCAAGCCACATCTGAGTCCATCAAATGATTAGAAATCTATATCCAAATCTGATCCAATTTCTGATCAGATCTAGAGGGTCTTGGATTGGATTCGATCCTATCAGATTTTTGGATTAAATCTGAGTCCATTTCACCATCTTTAAAATTAAGAAAAATCTAAAAAATATAAATAATTAATCACTCTCTGACTTGTACATACAAAATTATATATTATTTTTATAAATAATTCTATATTATTTATGTATATGTGTATATACATAATGATCTATGTATATAATATATAATACTTATCTCTCAAAAAATATAGTTATATAATATATGACACATTATATAAAATTTAATTGGAATTGGATCGAACAGGGTTAGATCCATATTCAATCTGATTGTAAAATGACTGCATGTTTTTTTAAAAAATCCGAATCTGATTCGTTCATGTAATGGATAATCTGAATCCAAAATGATTGGATCAGTTCTTGGACTTTTGTTGCCGTTGACATCCTGACTTATAAGATTAGTTTTGTGTAAACAGAGCAGATATTTGGTCATTTGGGATTACTGCCCTTGAACTTGCTCATGGCCATGCCCCATTTTCCAAATATCCACCAATGAAGGTAAATTCGTTGGTTCCAAAGAATAGCATTCAATCCATGTAATAGAAATGTCAACTGGTACTTGTTCAACAAATTTTGTTTACTCCTTTGTTATCTTTCTCTGTTCGCAGGTTTTGTTGATGACCTTGCAGAATGCACCGCCAGGTCTGGACTATGAAAGAGACAAGAGATTCTCAAAGGTATTTAAATTCTATTTTAACCTACTTACTGGTAACCACTTTCGGGGTATTGTTTTGAAAGTCATGTTCTTTTGTAGTCTTTTAAAGAGATGGTAGCCATGTGCCTAGTGAAGGACCCAAAAAAGCGTCCCACATCAGAAAAGCTTTTGAAGCACAGTTTCTTTAAGCATGCTCGCTCAACTGATTATCTAGCTCGGACTATTCTTGATGGCCTCGCTCCACTTGGTGATCGTTTTAGGATGCTTAAGGTGTCTGGTTCATTTCCCACCCTTAGCTCTTCTTCATGTACAGTTTGAAAGCTATATCAGGAGGCATGAGTTCATTTTTGTTTTGTATTTTATTTGTGTTATATTTACAGGCAAAAGAGGCTGATTTCCTTGCTCAGAATAAGGTGATGTATGGAGATAAGGAGCATTTGTCACAGGTGAAGTTCACAGTGTTTCCTTTTTCTGCTTTCAAGTTTCTCAAAGAAGACAACTTGCTTTGTAGTGTATCTTACAGAATACTGCTCCATTATTCTTTATCTGTTGTTGCGTATTCTGGTATTAGCCAAAAACCTCTATGGTCTTTGAACTTGGTGGATAAGTCAAATGAAAAAGATCTTTTGCCCTCTTGTGAGTACAATTATAGGTGTTGATATAACTATTGATCTCTTGAAAAGGGTTTGAAATGTAGACAGTAGTGATTTTATGATTTCTAATTTCTTTTTAAAGTAACGGGATTGATGAATTTTATCATGGCATCATAAAAGTAGAGGTTGGAAAAAAGGCTCTGCTCAGGAAGTGGATTTGGAGATTTGGGACTGAGAGCAAAAGTTGGTGGAGAAGCTTAACTGCTGCTAAGTATAGCGTTGAAAGAGGGGAGTGGATGACTGCTGACTCCTTGGCTTTCTATGGCTGCTTGCTTTGGAAAGGAATCATGAAGATTCTCCCTTGTCTCTCAAGGGGTATTGCCTACAAGACGGGTGATGGGAACAGTCTTTGGTTCTGGAAAGACTCCTTGTGTGCAGAAGTTCCTTTGGAAGGGCTCTTCCCCCAGCTGTTTCAGTTAGCAAAAGATAAAGAGGCTTCAGTGGCGGAGAGTTATGAAATTGTGGGGGAAGTGTAACCTGGGCACCAAAAGTCAGGAGAGGTTTTCAGGATTGGGAGGCGAATTGGTTTTCAGAGCTTCTTCAGTTGCTTCTGCATTAAAAGGTTGATGTCAAATGGTCTGATCAGTGGAGTTGGAATTGGGGTAAGGACAGGCTTTCTTTGTCAAGTCTTTTGCTTTCAAGTTAATAGTTTGAACTTTGAAATCAGGTGAGCTTCCCGGCTAAGCAGATTTGGAACACTATCTCCCCCTCAAAGCTGAATTTCTTGGTCTGTGCAGATGTGCTTGACAAATGCCTTACTAAGGAAAACCTGCTCAGAAGGGGTATGCAGATTTAATAGATAAGTTGTGGCCTGTGAGTAGGGAGGGCAAATCTTTTGACCGCCTTTGCATCCACTGCCTGGTGACATCTGAGATTTGGGGGGCATTTTAGCAGAACTGCTGGGCTTAGCTGATCAATTCTGAAATCTATGAACTGCTATAAGGTTGGAACCTGTCTGGTCTTAGTAAGAGAAAATTTATCTGGAAGGTGGTTCTGGCTGCAGTGATTGGGACTGCTTGAGCAGAGAGAAATAGCATAATTTTCAACAGCAAAAGGGAGAATTTTGGGGATTTAATTAGCATGCAGTGGGGAAAGCGGGTTCTTGGGTTTCTGTTGCAAAGAGTTCAAGCATTAGAAGTTCAGAACATGTTTCTGTTGCTGAACTTTAAGAATTTTTGGGAGTTGTAATGTATTGTGTGCCGGGGGGGTGTCTCTTGCTCTCCCATCCTGGGAATCTATTGTACTATGCTATTTTTTCTCTGTTTGCAATAAAATTTCTTACCTTACCTTTCTCAGAAAAAGTATAGGATGGTAAAAATAAAAGCAAAAATATAGAAAACAACTGCTCCTAGCTGATAAGTGACTTCAAAATTTTATTAAATAGACATGAAAATATATACAATACAATAATCCCTTTGAGAGGTGAGAGGCTGACCTTAGAATCAGATTACAATTGAGTCTAATACAGATGTTCCCTATTAATTAACCCCTTGATTTGCTAAAGTAACTGCCACTGGCTGATATCAAAGCAGCCTGCAAATACACCGATATTTTAATCTAGGAAAAAAGTTGTGTGCTCATGAGAATCAAGAATGCTGTCACAGCCACCTGAAGATAAGGACATGACTATAGTTCTGAAATAAGAATTCCAAGTATCTCCATGATATCCTGGCAAAGATGCAACTTAGTGTGTTCCTTGTTCTCAATCATGGATACAAGGCTTTACACATGATCTGGAAGTGTAATTTGGGAAGAGGTTGCCTGTGTGGAAAAAGCCATCTCTCCAACAGTGGTAGATTCACCCTCTTTCTCTGCAGCTTATCTGGCTTAGCATTATACATTTTATCCATACCACATTTAGTGGCAATGGTGTTTGAAAAGAAGGGATTATCTACTGGATGGTCCTTGTGACGGAAAAAATTCTACCAGGTGGAGTGGAGTCAAGTATGCAGTTCTAAGGGAAAAATTGCAATAGTTTATAGGTGTTGCACTAAATTAATGAAGGCTTTACTTAAGAAACACCTATGGTGGTCTGGAAATGAGTAGAACCCACTGCAAAGAATAGCCTTAGGAAGATGGTCACTAATCTTCTTATACATGGTCAGCATGCAACAAAGATATGATGGAGAGCCACAAGAGCAGCTATCTTATGGTCAGTTTGGGAAGAAAGGAACAATAGTATCTTTAAAGGAGTGGAGAAATCCAACGAGGCAATTGTAGAAAGGATAATTATTATGACTATTCAATGGTTGAAAACATTGGATTTGTTTAAAGATTTCTCAGCTGAAAACATTTACAGGAATTGGGAAGTGGTGGCATCTACAACTTCCATGAAACCTATTGTGCAGGAATTGTGGTCCCCACCAATACAACAAAGAGTGAAATTGAACTTCGATGGGAGTTCAAGAGGTAACCCGGGCCCTTCAGGTATAGGAGGAGTATTCAGAGATGAAAATGGCAGAATTGTAGCTTTGTTCTCAGGAYCAATAGGGGTGGGGGCCTCATTGGGAGCGGAGGTGATGGCTTTGCTTCAAGGTGTAAGATATGCTGAACAATTGGGGTTACACCAAATTGAGATAGAGGGAGACTCTAAATTGTTGATTGAGTGGCTGCAATCTAGTAAGTTGGGAGCCTGGATTTATAGACAGCCCATAAGGGAAATCCTCAACATAACAAGGGAGATCAGTGCATGCTTCAAATGGACAAGGAGATCAGCTAATGGTTTAGCTGACACGNGATCAGTGCATGCTTCAAATGGACAAGGAGATCAGCTAATGGTTTAGCTGACACGTTGGCTAAACAAGGGACTGTGAGGGAGAGAATGTTCTGGGCAGTTTTGTAAGMAWGATTAYTGGGGGCTCAACRCCTACTTAGGGGTTGACAGCTGTACTTAAATCTGGAAAGTTATTCTTAAGTTATATTAATGAAGTTACCGTTTCCAATAAAAAAACAAATTCTGTTGCTAATAACATTGCTTGTTGTTGCCCAGTATTAATTTGTCATGCTCTGTTTTTTATGTTAACTAGATATTTCTTGAATTTCATTTTATATCTTTTTTTTTTCTTTTTTAAATTTCACTACCAATTATGTGTATAAAAAGAGTTAAATCCAGTCACACCTGATTTGTAAAAAAAATCTTTTACAGAAATTAGCATTTCCTGGAACGTAGCTACCAAATTTATATTGTCAATAAAATGTGTTTCCTGAATGATTGGCGTTGCAGCAAGAGTATATACGAGGAATCAGTGCATGGAACTTCAATTTGGAGGATTTGAAAGCTCAGGCAGCCCTTGTAAGTATATCTCTGTTTATTTTATCTGCGACCTGTGTAAAAAAATGAAATTGAAAATATTTCTTGGGTAGAGTAGGGGGTCGATATTTTTTTGAGACAAGGTAGAGTATAATATTTCATTAATAGGCAAAAAGATACATCAGTAAAATTTTATCTGCGACCTGTACGATCATCTCCTGGCTATTAACAACATGATTTTCAATTACAAAGAAAAGTCTTGTGATCTCTTAAAATAATTTGCACATGTTATCCCAAGGATATCATTTGTTTCAGCTGAACTACTCTTTGAAAAATTCATTTATTTGTTTCTTGCCAAATCATCCAAAAAACTGCTGCTGTTGCTGTATTCCAAATTAACTTTTCCTCTTTTGTTCAAATCTTCCAGCATCCACCCCTTCAAGAAGCTCTCAATTGATGCAGGAAGACAACCTTTGACAGCAAATATCTTCATAACTCTAAACCATATTGAATAAGAGTATTTACAAAGGGTGTTGATAATGAAATAATGATCAGTGGTCTTGCTGCATTTGAGGCACTAGAAGTCTTAATTTAACATTAATGGGTCTGATGTGGGGCTGGTCTGTTGAGTGGCAGAGGGATGTTATCTCTCCTGTTGTTTTTATTTTCTTACTGTTACATTTAATAAAATATCTTATCTTGTTAGTGATCAAAAGAATATCTGTAAGTGAAGTGCTTTCACTGTTGAAGATATTTTATGGTGGTATATTTTTCTCTTTCACCAGTTATGCTTTGTCTTCAGATTCAGGATGATGGAGTCCAAAATACAGAAGGTCAAGACATGAATAGCAAATCAAAGAATGGATATAATGAAGTTGTAGGCTTTGCACCAGAGCCTCAGTCCCCTGAAAGTGATAAGCTTTCTAATGCAGTACCTGTGCAAAAGGTACTTGTACCAAAATAAAATGAATTTCTAGTACAACTTTTACTGCCTTATTAATTTCTTGGTTCTCATCTTAAGTTGCTTTTGAACATAAATTTACATTCTTTTGTATTTATTAACATTCTTTTTTTTATTAGGATGTGCTCGACGATTTTCAGAATATAAAGGATTCACTTGCTTCATTTCCTATTAGCCCTCTTCAGGCACTGAAGTATGTGCAGTTGTTATTTGGTGTTTTATTTTACTTTTTAATTGTCATGGTATTGCTTTTGGTTAGATGTGTCTTTATCAGATTCCCTAGGATATTAGCATTTTTAAATGGAACATACTGCCCCAAGGCCAAGAGTGAATTGCATATGATCTATTTGTGCCCATGCTTGGCTATTGATCATTGTTTATCTTTAGCAGTTATTCAGTGTGTGCATGTTGGAAGAAAAAGGAATTTCATACCAATTAAGAAAAGACACTTGTAATCAGCTCATTCCAGTGAGTTCCTAGTTTGTCCAAGGCAGTTGGTCTGGGCTTTCAACTGTTTTTCAGTGATAAGGTCGTGACCACCCATCATTTGCCTTCTCTATATGATTTTGAACCTCTATTCTGTCGCTGATAAAAAAAACCAATAAAGAAAGAATGGCTCTGAATTTTATGCTGTACCTATACTAATATTTGTTAATATCCTGTTCATCTGTTGAATGCAGAGGTTGTTTTGATGTTTGTGAGGATGATGTCAATGCCATTAGCCCAAACTCGAAAGATGTTGTTCAGTCAGATTCTGACCAACAGTTTCAACTACAGCCAGCAGCAAGGGAAGAGGACATGGAAATGAAACAAGACAATGGTGAAAATTTGGAAAGAAGTAGATCTTTATCTAGATGTGTCATACCTGGACGTCAAAAATTTTTGAGTGGTTCACTTATACCAGAGAATGTTCTTTCCCCTTC